TATTAATACAATGTCTTAGTTTTATTGAGGAGCAAACAATTATTTGTGCTAGAATATGCAACTGAAAACTATCTGATGTCTAATTGGGAAAGTGAAACTTTGTGGGGTTTGTTTTTTTCCCCCTTTGGAATCAATTCATTAATAGGAGTGTTTCGCATTAGGTTCAGATTGCCCTTAACGAAGCTAAACTTAGTGAAGAGAAGGTGAAGTCCGAATGCCATCGGGTTCAAGAGGAAAATGCTAAGCTTAAGAAGAAGAGAGACCAGGTAAAGAAAAGTTAACGCGTAGATTATGTAAACTAGAGAACCCAATACCATTGCCTCTTGAATATCTTTTCTCAGATCTGTTTTTAAGGAAATGAAATATGTATGCAGGATTCTATTCTGAGATATGCAGAGTTTAAACTGTGCTTCCCAAATTGAGTACATGTGTTCGTCCTCCATCTGTTCTGGATTTTCTGTTCTTCTGTACAGTTTCTTAGAGCTAGGGGAGTGCTTAGTCTTTGTCTTCAAACACCAACCAGTTATTAACCTGAATGGCCTCAAGGGGGCGGTGGATTTGCTTCTCAAACTAAAGAATTAGTCTAAGCAGTTCCTGCTTCACTGACCAAGGGAAGATGACATGGTCTGGGTCTGGGAGACTGAGATTGTTCCCTTCTATTCCTACTGGGTGTTAGTTCTTTGAATTGGCTGCCATTTTCTGAAGGATACAGTAAACTGCATCAGCTTTTTCCCAGCTCTTCTCAGCCCACTGCAGTTCTGAGGGTTGGAGCCACTCTCCCTTCGCCCTTAACCGAGGCCTTAGCCCATGGGGATGGGCAAAGAGGAGCCTGGCTCCAGAATAACCTGTCTCAGTCACGTGGTCCTGATGTCTCCAGCACAAAGCCCTAACTTTCGGAAATTCGTGTGCTTTAACTTTTCAGTTGCAGCAGGAAATCAAAGACTTGAATAAATCCCACGCTGAACTCAGTGAGCAAATCAAATCATTTGAGAAGTCTCAGAAAGATTTGGAAGTAACTCTTACTCAAAAAGATGATAATATCAATGTAAGTTCATTCTCTCGAGCACATGTTTAGTTCTCATGGATTCCCACACAGCCAGGAGGTTCTTTCTAATATTTTGCTTCTTTTCTAGGCTTTGACGAATTGTATCACACAGTTGAATCGGTTAGACTGTGAATCTGAATCTGAGCATCAAAATAAAACAGGAAATGAATCAGATGAACTAGCAAACGGGGAAGTGGGAGGTAAGATGGGTTTCGGGGAGGCTGGTCCTCTCTCTGCCTTCCTGTCTTTAATCAAGTAACTGATGCGCCTTCAGAGTTGTGGGCGCACATTGCTGGATCTGTGTGTGCGTCTGTGTGTGTCTGTGTGCGCTGGGCAGAGGTGGGTGGCTGGGCTG